TGTTTAATTAACTCTTACGGCGACTAATTAACGGTGAAATGAGTATTACAAAGTTTAGCTGTTATAACATTAAAGTATCATTAACTTTTATAGTGTTGGTCACTGCAATAGTGTTGAATGAACCCTTAGTGGTTAACTGTTACAGTGTTGATTCATTGTTGTGATACTGATTAACTGTTATAGTGATAAACTGTTATAGTGTTGATTGTTTAGTGTTGAATTAACTCATACCGTGATTAATAAACTGCGTTGAATTAACTGTTAGTGTTTAACTCTTACCGTACCTGACGCTATAAAATCAGTGTAATAGTGCTGAATGAACTGAAGTGATTACAGTGATTAACTGTTATAGTGTTGATTAACTGTTTTAGTGATTAACTTAGTGTTGAGTAACTGTTATAATATTGATTAACTGTAAGTGTGGATTAACTGTTATAGTGATTAACTGCTATAATGTTGATTAACTGTTATAGTGATTTACTGTTATAGGGAATAACTTGTATTTATTTACTGTTATAGTGATTAACTGTTAGTGTTGATTAACTGTTATAGTGATTAACTGTTATAGTGAATAACTGTTGTAATTATTTACTGTTATAGTGATTAACTGTTGTAGTTATTTACTGTTATAGTGATTAACTGTTAGTGTTGATTAACTGTTATAGTGAATAACTGTTATAGTTAATTACTGTTATAGTGATTAACTGTTAGTGTTGATGAACTGTTATAGTTATTTACTGTTATAGTGATTAACTGTTATAGTGTTAACTGTTGTAGTGTTGAATAACTTACTGTGATTAAATGTTATAGTGATTAAATCTTAGTGTTGTTAACTGTCATAGTTATTAACCATTATAATGTGTAACTGTTAGTGTTGTTTAGCTATTAGTGTTGATTAACTGTTATAGTGATTAACTGTCATAATGTGTAACTGTAGTGTTGTTTAACTGTTAGCATTGATTAACTGTTATGTTGATTACCTGTTATAGTATTGAGTGAACTGGTATAGCGATTGTTATAGTGATTAACTGTTGGTGTTTAATTAACATGTACAGTGATAATTGAACTTAATGTTGAATTAACTAGTACAGTGTTGAAAAACTCAGTGAATAACTGTTATATTGTCAAATTACTAGTTAATTAGTGTTGAATTAACATTTACAGTGTTGCAGTATTGAACAGCTACAGTGCTGGATTGACTCTCGCAGCGTTACATTAACATCTACAGTGTTTCAGAATACTAACAGTGTTGAATGCGTAATTACAGTGTTAGATTCAACACCTACCATGCGGAATGAGCACCTGCACTGTTCAGTTAACACCTACAGTGCTGAATTAGTACCTGTAGTGTTACATTGAACACCTCCAGTATTGAATTAACACCTACTCTGTCCATCTGAGCCGCTGCCATTGTAGCCCTAGACTGTCCAGTTTTATTTATATCTTGCTTTTCTGAGTCTTACCGTGTTACACACTGTATTTAACCCCTCATGTGCCATTAGAAAGAAACCCCACCACTGCATGAGGAACTGTTTTGTTTCCTTTCTTTCATCAGTCACATATTTCCTGGCTTGTGGTCACATGACTGACCATATGGCACACATACACAGGGGTTCTATTGTTTAACACGACACCAAGAGTGCATTCAACTCTCTGCTCTATATGTTTGTGGTTGTGCTGATGTAAAATAAATAGACTTACTTATTACCTCATGTTTAATTCCTTAATTAAAGAAACACCATACATATAATTAATTAATATCAATTCATGTTTTTTTAATATCTGCTCTCATTCTTGTCTTTTTGTCTTCTTTCTTATGACAGTCCATACGAGGCTGGAGGAGCTGTGAACCGAAATGGCTCCTCTGAAGCCGCCAAGGTTAACGGGACCCTCGCTCTGCCCACTGGAGATGCCGTCCACGTGTCCAGCCAGATGACCTGGACAGTCCACCTGCAGTAGGGAACCTCCAGCCTGGCCCTGCTGCTTTTATTTCCTTTATTTCTCTGAAACCCCCTTAGACTCGCATAGACCCCTCCACTCCACCACTCCACTTTATGGACTTCTCTGTGTTGTGGTGACACCTTTGTGTTGTTTTTAACCCCTCGCGTCCCGTCCCTGCGCTGCAAGACCACCTCCGAGTTTGACGGGAGCCCTTAGCATGCACAAGCTGAAGGCCGGCCCTGGCCCCCCTGCGCCAGACGTCTATGAGTTCTCCCTGGACCAAGAGGATGCCCGAGTTTTAAAAGTCCGGTCCGCAGGGGTGGTGTCTCCGCTGGCCCAGTTCATCCAGGCGGAGCACCAGCATGCGGGTCTCTTCGCCCTGCCCCAGCAGGAGCCTCCTGGGCCCAAGAAAAAGAGGAAAAGGTGCGGGATGTGTGGCCCCTGCATGCTCCTGGAGAACTGCGGCACCTGCAGCAACTGCCTCAACAGGAAGGTGGGCCATCAGATCTGCAAACTCAGGAAGTGTGAGGAGCTCAAGAGGAGGAGGAGCCCCTGGCAGGTAAGCTTAGCTTGTGCAAATGTGCTTTATGCTGCTAATAGGAAAAAAAGCGGCTCAGAATGTAGCTTTTAAAGGAATAGTTTGGCAAAACAAATCAAGTCTGTTCAGTTTTCCATGACGCCAAATGTAGTCAGTCAGCCGAAACATGTTAGGTGTCTCAGGTTTGCGCTCAGCTTCAAACTAATCTAGCGAACAAGTAAAGGAAGTCTATCCTCCAAAAAATTAGCACCTATATACTAAAAATCAGCACATAGTTACCAAATACCATGTTGAGTTGTTTATCTCCGGAGGGGAAACCTCAGGGCCGTCAGAGAAGGCCTAATGATATCTGTGAAAAAAAATGCATGTCTACTTTTTAGTTTATTTTTATTTAGTATCATCATTCTTGTTGTATTTACACTCTTAAAGTATTGTACCAATACTCATATTTCATTGTTAAAGTATAGTTCAGTTTAAAAGGGTTAAATCCTTGACCCTGTTCTTGAAAATGATCCAATCAGGATTTTTTTGCCACGTATTATCTCCATATGTACAGCCCTGCGAGCTCATTGGTTAGGACTTCAGGAGCTGAACAGAAGGCCTAATGTGTCGGATTAACCACCAGCACAATTAGTGGAGTCAGCTAATCGTGTTTTGACTACTAATGGCCAAATTGGACCAAATTTGTGAGGAAAAACGTCACTTTAGTCTTTCTGGATATGTCACTGATTGAGAATGCAGCAGCAGCCGCCAGGACTCTCAATTGTAAAATGTACAATGTACAAAATAAAATATATTAATATCTTTTACAAGCATCAGATATCTGTGTTTAATCGAGAACAACCAAAAAATGTTCATATGAATTAACAAAGCGTTGACATACTACTTGAATCTATAGTGTTTTTCTCCCCCATAGTTTTTGACATTTATGGCCTGACCTGAAGGCCCAGCCACTAATAGTCAAAATTTTGTATCTCCATTTTTGTCATTTTTCAGTTTTTGACATAATTCGAAAGTGCCTATGGCTCTTTACATTATGTGTAAATTTCATGAATAATGCACCAAAATAACTGGCCCAAAATTACTTAGAAAAACGTCTGGTTCCATTGACTTACATTAAAAGTAGAGTATGTTTTTTCCTTCTCCTGTAAAGTTACCATTTTGGAGATACGAGGTTTTCTTCCAACAACAGTGTTATGTGACACTGTAAGATATACTGTTATCTATAAACATGAACAAAGGTGTGGACAGAGTTCAGCCTTTGATGCTGCTATTACTGCTTAGCAACACTTCTGCCCATTTTTATAGAGAATTGTACTTTTGAGCTGCACCCACCAGACAGGAATTCGGGGCCTTTCTAGTTATTTTTGGTTTTATACATCAGTCTTGCTTTTATTTTAACACCTAGATTCATCTCACACATCATAATTAACCTATTAAATCTGGTCAGAAAGCTGCAATAATACATTCGGTGCTATTTTCGTTCGGTTCTCTGTTGCGTGTTTCGTAGTGTTTGTCTAATCGTTCTGACTGATACAAGGTGCTCATACAGGTGGAGGTTCCTTTTTTTTTTCCTGCATTTCCGGTTCGTGATTAGGGCAGAGTGACATGAACTCAAGATTATGTCATAATATTGTATGTATTGAATTATACTGCAGCATATAGTATCATATAGATGTATCATGACTAGCATTTTAGCCTGTGGCTAGTATGTTAGCGCTTTGATAGTGTTTTAGCTTCTATAGTATGTTAGCTTGTGGCTAGTGTTTGAGCCTGTGGCTAGTGTTTTAGTTTGTGGCTAGTGTGTTAGCTTGTGGCTAATGTTTTAGTTTGTGGCTAGTGTGTTAGCTTGTGGCTAATGTTTTAGCCTGTGGCTAGTGTTTTAGCCTGTGGCTAGTGTTTTAGTTTGTGGCTAGTGTGTTAGCTCGTGGCTAATGTTTTAACCTGTGGCTAGTGTTTTGGTTTGTGGCTAGTGTGTTAGCTCGTGGCTAGTGTTTTAGTTTGTGGCTAGTGTTTTAGCCTGTGGCTAGTGTTTTAGTTTGTGGCTAGTGTGTTAGCCTGTGGCTAGTGTTTTAGCCTGTGGCTAGTGTTTTAGTTTGTGGCTAGTGTGTTAGCCTGTGGCTAGTGTTTTAGTTTGTGGCTAGTGTTTTAGTTTGTGGCTAGTGTGTTAGCTCGTAGCTAGTGTTTTAGCCTGTGGCTAGTGTTTTATCCTGTGGCTAGTGTTTTAGTTTGTGGCTAGTGTGTTAGCCTGTGGCTAGTGTTTTAGTTTGTGGCTAGTGTTTTAGCCTGTGGCTAGTGTTTTAGTTTGTGGCTAGTGTGTTAGCCTGTGGCTAGTGTTTTAGTTTGTGGCTAGTGTGTTAGCCTGTGGCTAGTGTTTTAGTTTGTGGCTAGTGTGTTAGCTAGGTGCTAACATTAACGAGTGTTATGCTGTCTTCAAGTCATCGTTGGAAGTTCCTACTTACGACACGACTTACGACATGACCTGAAGACAGCATTAGACTGGAGCACCATAAAGCACAACATTTTTCAGAATATTGTACTTTTATAATGAGTTATAATGAGTTTATAATGAATTCGAGTGCTCTGATCAGCTAAAAATGGAAACACTAACACATTAACATAAAGCAAAGACACAGTTTGATTTTTGCTGTGCAAAAAAAAAAGTTGAAACACTGCTGTATCAAATCGAATAATAATTTTGTTGTGAATTTCTTTAGACTCCTACGTATTTTACATTATTAGTACAATATCAATATGATATTAGGATAAAACATAATTGAAAACAGCAACGACAATAATAATTATGAATAGTATTATTATTACTACAATAGTAGTAGTAGTATTGGTTGTACTAATATTATTATTGTTGTTATTATTATTATTATTATTACATCTGGTATACAGGGCTACACTGTTTAACATAGGAGCACCTCAGCATGGCAACAGTGCAGCTTCCAGCCTGTAAAGAGATTTTGTAGAATTGAAAAGACTTATTTTACCCATTCAGGTTCATATTTGATTTGTCTTGGGTGCAGGGATGTTTGGGGTTCACCGTTTTTGGGCTAAAAACATTGGAAAATCTATATCATGAAACACCATCATACAGGTAATAACTTTATGTCAGTGTATCTTTACCTACCAGCCCTGGTCCTGATGAGTCAGTGTTACCCAGGGGACATTAGTGCAAAATTTCATAAACATCCTTTCCTCCTGAGGCTACTATGATGTTTTACTGCTCTTTAGTCAGTCGTATGCTTTTCATGTGAGGGGAAGAGGCTTCAGCATTTAGCCGAAAGTTTGAGTCTTGTTTCAGGTCATAAACAGTTCGCTGGCAGCAGCTCTTTAGTTTAAAATGTTGTGCTAATTGTTTCCATAGAGATGTAAAACTCCCTCCTCCGCTCAAAGGCACGGCTGTTGCAGCTCCGTCTTGTTAGGAAATCCCTAATAAATAACTTTGCTTTACTCTAAGCTACATTTGTAATGACTTGCTTCTTAGCTCAGTGCGTTATAATGGAAAAATGAGTTGTTTGTGTTTTCTCACAAGTAATTTTGTGGTTAGTGAGTAATTACTCCGGTTTAAGAGAAATGTGAGTGGTGTCAGTGAAAACAGGACATATTAAAGAGGAATTCCACCAATTTTTCAAAATCTCTGCATAATTTAGTCATTAGCGTTGTAAGTTTGATGATTTAATGTGAAAGGCTCGTGTTTACAGCCTTTAAAAGCTGCCTCACAGAAAGCTTTTATTACTTGAACTGGTTTCAAACATGTTGCCTCATGCCATACGCGCTGTTTTAAATCCATTCCTACTGGAGGTGCATGTGGGGCATTAGAAGGCAAAAATAGTCTCCAAAGAAAACCTATTTTACCATCATTATTACATATAAATGAATGGAGAAAGTCATTTTGGAGCATTTCTGTCAGTCCATTTATCATAAAAAAGGTCAGCTGGTGATTCCAAAGTATGTCAAAAAATGAAAAATGAGATTTTTGTGTATTTAAATACTCAAATTTAGGTTCACTAATGGTTTTGGATTGTAAATAAAATGGCTATATCTGTGTTGTAGATGTTGTGATCCCCTGGTTCCTATCACCACCACTGTAAAGAAATCTGTAATGATTTTGTGATCTGTATGATGCAGTTATGCAGAATTTTTGAAAAAATCAGTGGAATTCTCCTTTAAAGGGCTAAACATGTGAACTAAGCCTGTCCTCACTCACTTGAGATCAACATCTTTAACCTCTTATGCTCGTGGGTGTATTTTAGTTTGTCCATCTGAATTCACAAGACCAAATCGTAGGGCAAATTATTCAGTAACTGCGTGAAATAAATGTAAATTTCTTTTATTTATCGATTTATTTTTTGTAAAAGCTCCCCTCAAATTAACAGAACATGTGTTTTATGATCACACATATTGCTATATACTTACAATTTACTGCTGAAAGCTAAAAATCTTAGACGCTCTTTGTATTATTTTATAAAAGTAATTTTTACAGAGCAGATCACTGAAGAGACGCCATCTGTTTATAGTTTATAGCCCAGATTTGAGGAAAAATGGGCCGACTTTCAGTAGATAAAAACATTGTGAGTTCAGCTTCTTTTATTATAAGGGTTTAAAATTACATCACCCATCTATTTGACTGGAAAGAAGACAGTTACAGCTCTCATACGACCCCCACCTTTAGAATGTAGCTTATGAAATATGAAAGTTATGAAGAATATGGCATTTTGGAACCACCAGTGGTCTCAAGGAGTTGAAAAGCTTAAAGGAATGTACTTAAAGGCGGATGTACTTAATCGTCCCAAAATGTAGCTCACATGTTTGCTTCTTTTAGTTTTTAACTTTTTTACTTTTTCGCTGGAGCTACGAGACAATTGTAACACAAATGGCTGGTATGGTGGGTAACACCTCTGCCTTCTACGCTGTAGACCGGGGTTCAATCCCTCACCTGGGCAAGCAGCCTACACTGTTCCAATAAGAGTCCTTGGGCAAGACTCCTAACACCACCTTCACCTACCTGT